CCCACCGACCCCCGGGCCTCCCAAGTTTGAGCGGAAGGCACTGGAGAGGCATGTCCCCAGAGTGTTCTCCCTCAGCATACTATCTGTATGGAGGCACAGTAACGGAGCTGAAGGGTCCTGTCTACTGAACTTTCCTCAGGGACTACAAGACAGCGCACGTTCTGCTAGCGACTGCTGACAGGCACACGCATTATGATGAAGAGAATTTCTGTGGCCAAGCTGTTCCTCTGGGTTTCAAAAACCTCATGCTGGTCCCCCTTTAATGTATTTCTACTTTATTTTATTTCAGCCAAGATGCTTCCCCCACCGCAATGGGGCCCACTCTTCAGTAGGCCTCAGAGTTCATACGGAGATGCAGAAGACACACGGATCATTTCACTCTGCCCCAACCAAATGAGGAGGTTGTCCTTTCAGCCACAAGCTGACCAGCCTACGCGAAGGCGATCTCAGTCCCAGGGGACTTGCAGCTCCGAGGAGCACGGCTCCCAGAGACAGCACCCACCTTTCCCAGGGCTCCCTGTTCATCGGAGCTGCAGCACCTCTCCGCCAGGAGCGCTCCTTTCACAAACCATCCCTTCTCCTCCCCCCATCAGGCAGCGCCTAAGAAGGCCCTTTGCCTCAACCCGACGTTTGCTCCGCTTCATACCTTCCTAAAAAAAGAAAACGACTCAAACCAAAAGCAGACAGGCAATCTGTTGTCTTGAGCAGATGAATGGTCAGCACGCCTACCTCCTGCATAAGCAACCCTCCTGACTGCGGGCGTGGGGCTTTCCGCGCGTCAAACCACACTGAAGTGAAAGATGCCTCGCTCACTCGGTCAGTTCTGCAGTTCCGCCTTTTCTCGCATTGCTCAGAAATCTGCCAGAACTGCAACTGCGACCAAAAATGTCCCCGTGTGACCTCTGCTCAGAGTTCTCCAAGGTCAAATGGATGCAACACATGGGCAGAAGCTTTGTTATGGAAAAGTTACAAAAATGGAACTTCTTTCCTAAATTTGGTTCTCAGTGAGACAGGATAGCGAGGGCTGTTAGATGCCTCAGCTCAAGTGTGAAATATATTATTCAATAAGCAGGGATTGTATTATTTAGGCAGAGATTATATTTGCAACATTCAAAAACACATCTCTCCTCCTTCATCATAAATGCTCCCACATAAGTGATTCACACCACCTTCCAAAATTCTAGAGATGATCTAAAGAAAAAAAAAGGGGGGGTGGGGGAAGGGCAGAGGAAGGGTGTAAACACCAGCGTTATTCTGTCACCCATTCTGCTAGAACACCCCCTCGGAGCTCTGACTAGGGACCTTCTGAAAGAGAGATAAAAGATAAGAAGATGTGGGCTGGAGGTAGACCAGCCAGGGTCAGAAGGGGGTGGCTGCCCACGCCTGCAGCCTGGACTCTTTCCTCCTTCAGCGGCTGGACATCCTGCCTGGGCCTGGTTTGGGAACCGCCTGTCCATGGAGAGGAGCACAGTCAATCAGGTGAAAAATGAGAGGCCTATGGCTGGAGTCACTTGGCAGGAACATTCTCCTTGGACCTTAGCTAGGGAACTTGCTGGAGACATAGCAGTGAGTGGTAAGCTCTGGCCCAACCAAGTGCCACCATTCACTGTCTCACCGTCCCTGAGAGTTAGTTCAACTGCTTAGTTAACCCTGAAAGATTCCATGACCCCATACTCTCAGCGTGACGTTCTCCTAGTTGTTGACAGGTGTCTGTAAACCTCACACAAGACTAGTCTTCGGAAGCAGTGGCTCCCTTGTGTAGGAGTTTGGCAAGGCAACCGGAATCTGGGAAGTTAGCAACTCCGATTAAGGCGGAGTGGGCTCCTTGTTTCACTAGTTGAAACCATCTAGGGGCCCATCTTACAAAAATGGACTCTGTTTGCTGGGTGAGCATGTGGAAAGCCAGGGAATTTGGACCACAAGTTTTTGCACCAAAGATTCAGAAACTTATTTGGCCTGCTATTCCCTTTTTCAGAAAGGAAAAAAAAAAATCTATTCAGCGTCCCCTTGGCAATCAAAAACTTTCTGTAATATAGCCCATAATCAGGATGAAGTATAGGTATCGCCTTCTACAGCCCCCTGGGCTGCCCCCCTGGCACCCCAGCCCCCCCTACCCCCATTCCAGCACTCCAGCATTCCCCAGGGGCCAGTATTCCCACTGGCCAAATTTCAGTTCCTTATGACCCCAAAGTGATGACGGTCGAGCCAACGGCTGCCTCTCTTTGGCTCACTTGTTTGGTCATTCAGTTACTGGACCCATCTTCAGCATCTGACTGTGGTTCAATTGTGAGGAAGAAAAGAGCTCCTTTGTCATCAACCCCAGCCGCTGACCCTTAACATCAGCACGGGCATTCCCAGGGCTTACCCATGATACTGTCTGTCCCGTTGGCAGGAGGCGTGCAGGAAGAGGCGCTGTAATGGTTTGTGCCACTCCGGTGGAAAGTGGACATCGGCGGAAGACTGGAATTGATGTCTGCTGAGGAGTGTGGTGGATAGGTCTGCAACAAGAGGCAGAAAGGGAAGGCCAACTTCAACGACAAAACATCTCGTATTTTGCTAATACTTTCAGAGCTCGCTTTCTCACAGTGGGGAGAGCCTTTCAATGCTTGTTTACAATGCCCGAGAACATGCGATGTGTGATCGGAAGGCTCTCATTTGATTAAATAAGAGACCACAGGGCTCGGGGATGCCATAAAATGTAGGAAAAATACAATTGCAGTGGAAGACAGTAAGAAACAGTCACAGGCTCTACATCTGAAAGGTACTTACACAGACCTTAACGTCACTGCTTAGATTTTAGGAACATAAAAGGGCAATTTTTAACTTTTTTTAGGAGCCAGGTGGTGCAGTGGCTGTGCATGGCAGTGGGCAGCAGCTTGACATCCCAGCTTCTCCGTAGGAGGAAGAGGATGGCTTCTGCTCCCGGGAAGAGCTACGGCCTCGGACACTCACAGGGACAACTCTAACAGGTGCGCTGTGAGTTAGACTCGAGGGCGGTGAGAGTGATCAGTTTAGAGGGATTTCACTTTACAATGAATAAAACCCTATCAAGGTTCACGTGGTTACATTACAACTCAAACTTTCGACACTTAAATGGAAAATACTACCTTTGAAAATATTCCTTCCGCCTATCCCAAACAGCCCAACTTAACAGATTTCAGTGAGAAAGATGAGATCATGTTCTTAAAGCATCCAAGGTTCCCAAGAGAATGACACTCAAACGTTTTTCATTTCCCATGCCTCTTCGATTGACCAGACAGTTTCTTAGGCCAACAACTGAATTCCTTTCTTTTTGCTAGGTAGAGACTATCCTGTCAAAATCAAAAGCCAACTCAACTGCCGTTGAGTCCAGCATACAGGATAGAGGAGGGCTGCCCCATGGACTTTCACCAAGGCTGTAAGTCATTGAGGGGGTAGAAAGCCTCATTTTTCTCCCGCGGAGTCCCTGGTGGGTTTGAACCACAGACCTTGTGGTTAACAGCCCACCGTGTAAGCCACTATGTCACCAGAGTTCCTTAGAAATGATTTTATAGCACCCAAAAGTTTCCCTAATGAATGAGGCTCTTATTTACCATTGAGTCAATTCTGAGCCAGTCTGTGTACAGACAGGACCACTTCGTAGGCTTTTCAAGGCTGTGATCTTTTGGAAACAGACCACTAGGTCTACCTTCTGAGAAGAGCTAGTAGCCCGGTCAACACAATAGTACAGCAGTCTGAAAGACTGGATAAGGCACAAAGCACTAAACTGGGAAGAATAGGGAAGAACAGAGAAAGAACTATGTGAGCATTTCAATAATTCATGGGAAAATTGAAATGAAAGAAAATGGACCTTTTCTATCAACTTTCTGAAGTATCCTCATATTTCTGCTCTAGAGCTAAAGATTACAAATAACAGCAAAGAAAAAGAAACACAATACAGAAAAGTAACCAAAAAATATGGTTTGACTTCACTTCCATATTCTTATTCCATACTGAGTTTAAGAATGGAGAAATTTTATGAGTGACTCCAAAGGATGTATTGATGAAAAGGTGGGGTGGGGGTGGAGGATGAAACTTAAAAAAGTTATTAAATAATGAAATCATTTTAGTAACGAACTCTAATAGTCATTCGGTGTGGCAGGAAATATTATTTCTGGAAGGATCTCTGGAATCTCTGACCTTCGTGTGAAATAGCAGGGCAGTCCAGAATGTGAGATGAGGGTTAACATGGAGATCAGAGAAAGAGAAAAATCAACCCCGTAGATTTTAAGGTAGGAAATCAAAGCAATTCCCATCACTCAGTCCTTGGTAGAGACTCACAGAAAACTGGATGCTGAAAGAAATTAAGGAGTATTACAACTAGATTAATTTAGAAGGGAAAGTGTCTTGAAAAGTATTGTCACTTCAAGATGTGCTCAGTGTGTCCCTGAGAATATCAGTTATATGAGCAGCGTCTCTCTTAGAGGATTTGGGGGTCAACTCCAAGAGGTCTTCGTAAGCCTCTCCTGCTTCAGCTATTAATATTATCCGTGTGTTCTGCAACAAAGGGCACGGGGAGTATATGAGGTACAGAGTATGGATTTACATGCCAGGTATTTGTGTAGGTATTTTGACTTATGATACCCAAAGATAGTCTATTTCATGTTTACTGACATAGTAAAAGTGTTTCTGTTCATGATACTTGTATAAACTCCTGGGGTTGTTAATTAAAATATTAAAAATGATAAAATCGATAGTACATACCAAAAAAACCCAAACTCACTGTCATTGAGTCATTTCTGATTCATAGTGACCAAATGGACAAAGTGGGTTTCTGAGGCTGATGGGTTTGAACTGCTGACCTTGTGGTTAGCAGCCCAACTCATAACCCACTATGCTACCAGGGCTCCTTTTCAGTTGATAACACATACTCGGTATAAGATCATGCTTTGGGCTAGGGCCAGTTCCTAGTCTCCACTGACTTCTCATGCAGGATAATTCTTTGCTGTAAGGGGCTGTCCAGAGCATTGCAGGGTCTCGACCAGAGTCCTTGGCCTCCACCCACTAGATGCCAGTAGCAACCCTTCTTCCCTCGTTGGGACAGCCAAAAATGTCTTGAGCTATTGCCAAACTTCCCTCAGAGGGAAGGAAGGCAAAATCACCGTCAGTTGAGAGAATCAGTGGGCTACGAGTTTATGTTACAGAAAAAGAGAAGACCACAGAACTTCCTTTATGTTCAAAATCTACACTCATTGGGCTCGTTCACTCTGTGGTCTGAAGGCCAAGCATACACTATGCAGACGGCCAGGGTGCAATCCTATTTTTAAAAAGAACTCTGCCAAGTCATTCCTAACTGAAATCTTCTACCCAAAACACCCATTCCACAGCTTAACCACAAACTTCACTCATCTGAATGACTTTGTACTTGCAACTGCAAGTGAGGAGTGATTAATTGTGAGATTCTTGCCATCGAAGCTGAAATTGAAAAGGGAACTTAAATCCATTAAAATGGGTGACTTCACAGTTGCTACTGAAAGCCATAGGCGGTGCGCTTTTTAATCACAGACTGCATTAAAACGCGAAGTCAAGTTGTGGTGGTAATGTTTCTGAAACTCTTTGCATTTAGGGAGGATCTCCATTTGCCAAATTATATGCAGCACCATCCCAGGAAAGCCCTCCCTGGCCTCACACTCTGTCCAGTATGGGAGCAGACACCGGCATGGACTGAAGATGTCCGAAATGACTGCTATTAGTTTCAAGCCAATGAACACAGAGCTTCTCCTGCGTACTCACATGGCTTTCCATCAGAAACTGTTAAATGGCTCAAAACTGGAATTACAATCATTACTAGATGTAATAAGCAGTTTTATTTAGCTGTGAGAAAATTCATTAGGATATCTTTCCAGAGACCTTATTCTATGCATTGAAGCACATTTTAAAGATAACCCCTGTGCAGTGGACTTGATTGGGATTAAAAAAAAAAAAATCAAACCACCTAACTAAAAATCCTGGAGCTTGACAGAAAAGGAAAGGAAATAAAGATTAGAGGGAAGAAACGTTAAAATAAAAGGGGCAACTTGTACTAGAACTGGAGGTTAAACATAACAGTAGAGGGCTAAACCTGTGCATGTAATCAGCCTCCGTGTGGATGTGATATTGGCCAGGAGTCGGCTTTGGACCGCTTGTTCCTGGCTCAGTTATGACTGAAGAAGCAAACCTAGAATAGGCCTGGGTTTTTAAAATCTGGGTGAACCAGAACACAACGTGGAAGAGGAACAATTAATTCCAGGAAAAGGAAAAAACACAGGTTCAGGTCCTGCTAGAAATGTAAATTCTAGATTTCCCGAAAGTTTCTTCCACTCTAAGTTTCTGCCTCTAAGTGGGAGGTGGGGTGGTGATGTGCTGAGAAGTATAAACTTGAAAGCGAATCATCTGCTATTTACAGCAAACGTGCTGAAACCTGAGAGAACCTGCGACTGTCGCATTGAGACTTGGGAGAGGGTACAACGTTGATTGCTCCTCAGCAGTGGATAGAGAATTGACCAGAAACACAACCTCTGCCACTAGAACTGACTAAACACGTGCTTTCCAGGAGGGTTTAACAGCATCCTTCTGAATTCTTCTGGTTAATAAAGCATGATAAGGTTCCTTTATTTTATCTATCTTGATGAGGGGAAAGGAGAAAGAGTGCAGAAACCCATTAAGTATTTTTTTCCCCTATATAAAAACAGAGAACTTGGGGGTGGGGGCAGGTTGTAAAACAAAGGGTAGTGATACTCAGGAATGACCCACTAGGCAGGGTCACTGAAAATTTGCTATCCTGCTCCTTGTACTGGCAGGATTGGAGGATCCTACCAGTCTCCGCCTATCTGCCTCCCATGATGCGGAGCTAGAAATTTCCTCTCTGTTTAACACGACCTAAATTCATAGTTGAATTCTGGGCCGTGAAGTTTCTGTGGCTAGAGAAGTCCTCGGAGGCTCTTCCTTTGGGATGATGAGGCAGACGGGATGGGATGGATGGAGGTAGATGATGTGTGTGGCGGTCCTTCAACTCTTAGTCATGCAAAACCAAGAGGACTCTCACAAACCAGTCATTTCCAACTGGTGTGATGCAAAATGAAGCGTGACTGGGAGGGCGAGGGGAGGGGTGGGGAAATAAAGGTGAAGACTGAGAAGTAGGGATCTGATCCTCCTAGCCCTGCCCCATGGTTGCAGTTACTGGTGGGACTGAGCAGAAAGCTAGAGCGCTTTCCTTTGGGTGTGTCCCAATGGGTCAGAGCCGCCACCAGTGACGCAAGCTCATGAAGTGGGAATGGAAGTGCCTACATGTGGAACAGGTATCACCTTCTCCACAGTGTCCTCTTAGGAACCACTGTTGTTGCTCTTCCCCTGCCGGTGCCCTTCGAAACTATAGAGAGATACAGAAACGCCAGGGGACAGCCACAGCTGAAATCCCGAGACTCAACCGCTGCCTGCGTTTATCCTCCCATGGAAGCAGATTGGGGGATAAAGAAAGCGCAGAACAAGACACAATCCACAGGAGGACCATGACACAGAGGACCTGGAAGGCATTCTATGGAGAGCTGATTAGGCTATGTCTTTGATCACAGAAACAATAACGTTGGAAGAAGAATGGGCATGTGCCATGGCTTTTGCATGGATTTACAGAGTCCTTGCTATGTGCCCTCAGGGAGCCAGGTGATGCGTGTCAATAGAGGGGCTTTCTCTTCATCCCCACGTAAGGCTGTCTTACCAAACGTTCATGTGGATGCAGGCTGCAGTAGCTGCTAGACTGTGGAATATGAGAAGAATTGCCCAACATCCCTCCGTAGCCAGGCTGATTCATCCCACTGGAGGAGCTCCAAGGGTCACTGCTGTGATGGCCATCTGTAAGGGACAAAGAAAACCAGGACTTTTCGGAGGCATTCAGCGTGGCTTTGCAAAACAGGGCTTGGGTTATATTTTTGTTTAATAATACGTTTAAAAAGGCTGCCTGCTGCGTACCCAGCTTGGGGTTGGTGAGCTGGGTCTATCAGAAGATGGTTGCCACCAGTTTCCCCTAGTGGCTTGATATTGTCCAACAAACACACATTTAACATGGTTAACTGTTCTTTGCAAAAATTCAACTGAAAAGGAGCAGCAGAGCACATTTCTGCATAGAACCATGTCAAGTCTGCAAGGTCCCCGATGCTAAAGGAAGATTTCTTAAGACGTTCCCTAAGCTCTCTTTCTTAGGAAGTATTTCTTTATTTTTTAAGAAGCATTTCTTATAATATTCCCTAACCTCTCTTTCTATGACAACCAATGGAGAAGTTAAATTGTCCCCAAACTTTTGGGAGAATGCAAAATATTGGAGACATTTTAAAGTTGGCCACTTAATACTTTGAGAGGTGTACAAAGACCAAGTATTAACAGTAATAATAATAATAAGAATCTCAGTTTTAAAGGGCTGGATTTCATTTTTGTCACATATTCACAGTTTAATATTAAAAAAAAGAAATTACGATCTGGCATGGAGGAAAAAAGAACAATCAGATTTTTGTTTTCTCTTTTCCTCTTTTTAATATATAGCGTTCAGTTCCAATTCAAGGCGTATACACATATTCGAAGGTGGATATAAGAACAAATAATTTTGAGAACTCTGCGCTTGATAAAACTATTGATTTATGAGTTAAAAGAGGAATAACCTTACACGAAGGATCATTCCAAGCCCACTCTTTTGCTAATATCATATTTAAAACATTCCTACAGATTCTTTTCATTCCTGGGGATGCTTGGCCTAGAGGTTAGTATTAAGAGGCTGCTAGCTACCTTTGGGTTTTGGAGGCTCGAGCTTCAGGAAAAAGCAATCTCTATTACTGCTGAATTCGCTCATTTTTTCTCCCTTCTCTCATTAGCTCAACGAAATTTTATAAAAATCACCAAGTGCCGGATATATACACCAGGTTCTCCACTGCTGCTAAGTGTAAAACATGTACTGCTTCCTTGCAAATAAAATCATTTCCACTGGCACAAACATTTTATTTAATAAAAGGCCTTAAAAAAATTTTTTTTAAGTGAAGCAGCCAGCAAGTTAAATCTGACACTGGGTTTCACCAAGCTCCTTTTCACGAAGTTTCTAAATCTAGAAGTTAGAGTTCAGAAAACTGGAATGTTTTCAGGATGGGGAAGAATCTCTGTGGATTTCTTTCTCTGAGAGCTCAGCGGGCAAAATCACGGCTGTGATCGTGACAACTGGCAGAGTCGAAACTCCGAGATGGAAATGGAAGATAAAAATAAGAGGCTGCGGGCTTGAGTTTAAAATCAGCTCAGACAATCTCTGAATATCTTTCCCTTAATTGCATATCCCTTCAAGACCTGTGTTTTCAGGGCACCAAGTACCTTTCTCCTGAAGGATGCTAGCATCCAAATGGGACCACGTGGCACCTGTTTTGATTCCCATAATAATGTTAAAATAGGGGATTTGAGAAAAACAACAAGAGCCAAAAAAGCAAGAATGTGCTTGGAAGGTGAACCCTTCGATTAAGGATACTTAGATGCCACCTTACAGCTAAACGTGAAAGTTCAAGGCCACTCACAGTTGAAAGAGATGGTATATATGGCAAGTCTATTGAGGGCACACATCATCCAGCAAGAGCCCTCGTGAAGTGAAGTGCGCTAACAGCACGGGGCGTTCTACGGCAATCCATGTAGGATTTGTTAACACAAAATACGCTACTCAATGTCGACTGATAAAATACATATTTTACATAAATTATGCTTTTCACAGGAAATTAATATTTATCAAATCCCTGTGATCTTAGCATAACGTTGCTTTGAAAGAATGGAGCTAGATGGGTGTCAATGAATTGTACCTGTCACAAATGTCAACTCGGGACATTTTTTGGTTCTTCCTTTTCGGGAACCAGATGCAGAAACGCAAATTTGCTCCCCACGTTTTTTGCCTAGTCGCCTAAGGACAGACCCTACTGTCTTAATATAGCTGGTTTCCAGAGAATTTGCAGAAATCAAGAAAGGTCCAGAGAAGCCATCTATCCTTTTGTCATTTTCTCAAGGGGAATCGCTTTTCAACAACAGATCCCTGAGCTGACAACTTCTATATGCTCTGGGAGGGCGTCTACTAGGCTGCTAACAGTAAGATTGGTGGTTCGACTCCCCCCACCCCCCACTCCCACCCCAGCTGCTCCAGCAGGAGAAAAGATGAGTCTTTCTGCTCCCGTGAAGATTGGCAGACTCACATCAGACACCCTCCGGAGCAGTTCCACTCTGTCCTAGGGGTCGCTATGAGTCAGAATCCGCTCAATGGCAGGGGCTTTATAAGCTCTGGCAGCATGCTTTCTCCCACTGTTCACTGGAGGTGAGGATGGCTGCGATTTATATCCGTCTGTCACAGTCCAGAATGCACTCAGGGCCCTGGCTGGCCGGTACACCCAGGGTGGGTCACAAAGGCACAGAACCCTATGCATCTGAGGTCCACTGTGCACAGAAGGTCGCCTGATTCCTGGGGACAAAGCGCCGGGGTGATGCAAGGGTTAAGTGTTTGGCTGCTAACCAAAGGGTGGGTGGAACTGCAAAGAGAAAGACATGGCCTCTGCTTCCAGAATGATCTATAGCTTTGGAAGCCCTGGGGACAGAGGGGGGGGGGGGCTGGGCGGGGGCAGTTCTGCTCTGTCCTCTAGGGTTGCCATGAGTTGGAATTCGACTGAACCACAAAGGGCTTTTCAGTTTTTTCCTATGGGACCAATTAGATTCATTTTTATAGGCCGTCCGTGGGATTTCACAGGCGAACTAAAGACGGAAAAAAGCTAACCCTCTGTGGAGAAGGGACATCTCTTTTCCTCGGAGGATTTCTAGGGTGTCCTGCCGCTTGGGGCCAAGGGGCACCTCTGCACACCTCAGTCTAGACGAGGCCCTGCCTGCAGTGCCACCAAGAAGGGACTGCCCAAGGCATGCTGCCAAGGCCCACACCATCTGGGGTTTTCAAACCCAGGCATCAAAGCGTTAAAGGTCTGCACACAGGGTTTTCTGGTGAACACCACACCGAAATGTCAGTCTACTGCCTTGAGAGAGAGAGAGAGATCATCACACTTTCAAAATCAATACCCAGGCCTAACAGGGGCAATGGAGTCCATCTGAACCGATCTTTCCACTGGCGCCTGCTGTTGTTTTGACAAGCCGGCGGAAGGGGCTGCACTGCAGTGCAAGGCCAAGTTCTGGGACCACCCTTCCATCTACTTAATTCCTGACACCAGGTAATGAAGATATACACTATCTAACTTGAACCTCTCACTTTCTACTTTTTTCCTTTACCAAAAAAAGGGGGTGGGGGCTTTTAAGCTTTCATCCCAGGGTCAGTTAGCGTGCTGGGGTAAAGGTCTTGCGGCACAATTACAACAGAACCCAGACTTTAGATAGCTCTTGTCATCTTAAATGGGGCGCTTGATCTTACTTACAAATTGACAACTAGCTGCACATTTGACGTCCAAGGACGACTGGTGCCCCCACTACCCCCTTAGCTAAATCCAAGACACTCAAAGATATGCAGAGAGGAAATACAGACACTTGTTTTCCTTGGGGATGGGGAAGGGAAACGATTAGTCATGGAAGACCATCACCCACGGAGCTCAGTGAAGCAGGCCAGTCTCGACTGTCTTTCGTGATTGCCCACGGAGCTTTCATATAAGAAAGCATCTTCGCAAAGTTTTAATTTATGCATTTTTAATGAATTCCATTTCTAAGATGAGCCATGTCCCCCCAGTACGCCCCATTTGCATAGCGTACGGTTTCTCGGCTAGCGGTCAGGCAGGATCTTGTCCCCTGCATGCCTCTTACAGACTGAGGAAGGCCACGGAGTGCCCCCGGAAGCGACAGCAGCATCTTACCTTGCATGAAGAAGGAGCTGGGGAAAGTGCTGGCTGCTGGTTTTGAAGAAGGGTAACCTGGCGAGTCCCTATTGTAGTCGGCAGTGCTTGCTGATGGGGCATAGACCTGCGGAAGAAGAACCGGTTCAGTGTTGCCTTCTGCACTGACCCAAGTCTCTCAAAGTCCAGAGCTATTGCAGGGTAAAATGCTCTGTGTCCAGTGTGGCTAGTCCCAACCTGTGCAAACCACTGAAACACTGTCCCGAACCTTCGGAATTCAAAACGCCAGATAACAACAACAAACATGCAGCATGCTTGCACAAATGATAAAAACAAAAATGCAAGGCTGAAAAAGAGAACCAGGTATGATATTTTCCAGTCACCGACAAGAACACTGTACTCGTGTCTAGTTGTTTAAGCATATACATGTTTTATCTTTTCAGAAACGCAGATGGTCGATGACCATGTAGCATTCAGCCAACTTCTCCTTTTTAGTTAAAAATGTTCACTTTTATACACAGAGAGAGAAAATGTAAGAGAGAGCGGGAGAGAGAGAGACAGAGAGCTAACTATCCAGACCACAAAATAATGATAAATACATCTTAAGATATTAAATTCTCATAGTGTCAGTTTTTTGCAGAGCAGCATGAAAAAAGGCCGTTAAAAGCCCAACTCAATGCTAGCCCACCAACTATCAGTGAGTGCAAAGGCAGGGGAGACCGCCTTTTTAGTGCTTATTATATTTGTGTGCGCAATAAGCTTTTAAAAAGTGTGCCAGGAACCTAATTTACTTATATAAAGTAAAAGTATTCCCTAATACTCCCGAGACCTGGAGAACCAGTTCTTTCTGAAACTCGCCTGCGTATTTTCTTGTTTACGTTTCATTGAAAGAAGACAGCACACTGGAAAAGCATCCATGCATAAGGTATAGTTTAACTTTAATTGGTTTCTCCCCCCTTTGCCTTTTCGGCGAAATATAATTTTTTTTTTTAATCCCCATTTTCTTTTGCTCCCAAAGTCCCTCTCTCCAGATGGTCGGAAAGACTGAAACACTGTCATCCTCTTGATGAAAATGGATCCCTTCCTGCCTCCATTTGGAAGCAGGCAGCGGCTCACAGAATTGGCAGGGAGCCTACAGCGATACTCACAGGTCACCGTTAAAGAATGAGAGATTCACTAACGAAAAGGCAACAGCAGGGATACCAAATACATTAAAAAAAAAAAAGCAACCCCCCCCCCCTCCAACCACACAGACTTCTTTATCACAGGGATCAAATAAACATCGTTTTTTTTTAAAAGAAAGAAAAATTACACGATGGCTCTCAGGACTCCCGAGTCACCGGCTCAGCATTAAACGCAAGGTTTAGGATTTCACAAAGGATAAGTCCACAGAGACAGATGTGGGAGCGAAGACACTCACATGAGCAGGCTGACATCAAATACATGCCACACGTGCCCCTCAGCGTGTCCTTGAAAATTGGGAGGTCCCAGAGATTCAACCAAACAAAAACAAACCAGAGAAGTCTGCTTGCACTTCACACAACAAGGCTTTTCCAAAGTCACCCAAGGAGATAAACCTGGGATCCCATGGGATCCCCCGCCCCCACCCCAAACGCACACCTTTTCTTCACATTTTAAATGCCTAAACAGCTAATTGCTTCTGAGCTATTCCCACAGGACTTATAATAAGGCAGGGGGTAGAGGGAATGCTATTGTACTATCTTTTAAAAAAACGCAGAGTAAAAGTTTAGGCCAGAAATCCAACCAAATCCTCATCAAGCGCATGCTAGTGTTTTCTGGCGCATTACATAACTAACTGAGGGAAGTGCTACCAAGTGAAGGTGCACGAGGTCTAAAGAGTCAGCTCCACGGATGAAGGCAGGCATCTTCTTCCAATGAAACGCAGAAGGTACATGACCTCAGCTCGTTCTAACGGCAGAAAGACAACGTTTCTGTCCTTGGCAACTCATCCACAAGCACAGATAGCTGGATAGGTATTTGGCCAATCAGCATTTACATGACCTAAGTGTACGACGTACATGTGCAAATGTCACAAATAAATATACTCCTTGGATAACAGGGAAGACAGACTCTTATACCTATGATGACATCATCTGATGTTTTCAAACCATTGAAATCCTAACTTGTTAACATAATGCATGTTGGTTCCGGGGACAGCGTCCATTACATTACATTTAAACATGCATCTATCTCCCGGGCATGGACTGACACAGTGGCAATGGGCTTAATCCCAGCACTGTGAGAATGCCATGCGGTTAGGCAGTGCTCCGTTCTGCTGTCCAGGGGTCACTCTGAATCAACAGCACCGACCAACAACAAGAGTTGCTTTACTATGTAAAAACCCTTTGACGACCCTGAACAGGGGCTATCATTTTTCCCTTTAAAATTACTTGATTTCTCTTTTGAGATGTAAGGGGAGGGGGGAAAAAACACTCTGATTTTATTTAATTTTGTTAATTTCCAAGGAGATTACCTTGGTTATGAATTATGATCAAGCTTCAAAAATCTATGAGTAAGACCCTTTACCTCAAATTCATGAAGAGACATTATCTATGCAGTTAAAATTTTTATTTAGGTTACTTTAGGCACCGTGATGTTTGTTTTTCCAATATACTAGAAATAAAACTAAAGACAAAAAACAAACCCAAACCTACTGCCATTGAATCAATTCCTTAGAGCTACCTATCATACATAAAGTTCCCAAGACTGTAGGCCTATATGCAGTAGCCAGCCTCGCCTTTGTCCTTGGAGTGGCTGGTGGGTCTGAACTACAGATCTTGCAGTTAGCAGCCCAATGTCTAAGATCAAAGTCTTCATTGTTTAAAACAAAAATTCCTGCACATTTTATGCATTTCCTCCTCTATTTTATGAGTTGGATAAGATGCTATTACCTCAGTCTGTGTCATTCCAAAAGTGATTAAAAATATATATGTGTACACACACACACACACACACCAAGAAACCCAAACCCAAATCAAACTCACTGCCATCCATTCCATATGAACTCCTAGTAATCCTATGGGGCTTAGTAGATCTCTCTCTGAGTTCCAGAGACTATAACCTTTTTTTTTTTTTTTCCTGAGACTGTAACACTTTAGAGGAGTAGAAAGCCCATCTTTCTCCCTCGGGGAAGCTGGTCGTCTCAGAGCTGCTGACGTTGAGGATCAGGGCCCAACATGTAACCACTATGCCACCAGGTAGTGCAATAGTTAAGTCCTCAGTTGCTAGTTAAGTCCTCAGTTGCTAACTGGGAGGCAGCAGTCCAACCCCACCAGTGGCTCTGCAGGAGGAAAGACCAGGTTATCTGCTACCATGACAATCACGTTCTAGAAAAGCCACAGTGCCCATTCGACTCCACCATATTGGGGCAGCCGTGAGTCAGCACTGACTAAACAGCAGCTACCAACAACACAAAAGTGTCTACACACATTCACTTAGATCAGAACTCTTCAAGTTAGGAGATCTCCAAGAACCTGCCGCTTTCAGACCCTGACATTTTGGATGGCCCGAGGAGAAAGGTGCTCAGCATCTACACAAGCATCCATTGCTCCTTGCTTCTTCCAACGTGGCATGAGCTGGAGCTGACCTTTATGGAAACAGGGTGACCCTGAGGTGCGTCTCAACTGATCCTTGGGATTTCCGTCTTTCATCACCCGAGTGAAGTGCCTTGTTCTTTTGATGTCAGTCAACTCGTTTTGCCATTTTCGTAAACAAAAGACTTCAAAGCATAGATTTCTATGAGGCATTTAATACCTGGCATGAAATTTCCTAAGAAAAAGCTCACACCCACGTTGCTTTAATTACTGTTCTATGTAAATAAAGGCAGATTACTAACAGGTTTTTGTTAAAATAAAGTGACTTTTGATTTAATTACTTAATTATGACAAACACCTTCCCCCAAACATACCGCCCCGTTTGGACTCCCAGAGTGGCGTTGTCCCACAGGGTTTCAAGGTCATGACTCATTTTGGAAACAGACCACTACATCTTCCCCCTCATCAATAAGACAGAGTGCTCCAGAGGGTTTCTGAGGCTGTAATCTTTACAGGACAGCCTCATCTTTCTCTGAGGAACGGCTAGGTTTAAACTGCCTGCCTTGTGGTCATCGGCCCAATGCTCAGTCACTGGAGACCAGGCCCCAGGCTGTTCGTTAAAGAGCCCTGGTGGTGACCGAGGCTAAACATGAGGCTTAAGGTTAAAGAGGTAGCCGCCTACACTCCCACCCCAGTCCAGTCAAAAATAAAATAAAAATCTCAACGTAAGAGTGCAGGGCTTTGAAATAAACCCAACACTTAACTAGGAGGCCAGTCTAACAGGAAACAAATGCTGTCTGCACAAGCCTTCCCCCAGTCAGGTGGCTCAGATGATGGTGACGCACGGCCTTCTGACTCGTCCCGGAAGGCTGGCTGGAGAAGGGTGACATATTCATTGTCAAATTAGAAATGTGGAAACTTGACTGGCGCACATAGGGCACAACATTTTTTGCCTAATTATTTGCTGAATCAGCGTCCTGAAAAATGAAAAGGACAGCTTATGGTATATCAAAGTTAGCCTTAGCATCACTATCTGCTCTCTCACAATCCTAAAGTCAAAAAAACCTAACACACATATATACAAAATTCTGAATTTTACTACACTTAAGCCTGAACTGATAAAAGTGAAAAATTCTTTTGTTTTGCAGATTGAGGTTACATGATCATTTGAGAAATACTACCACGGTGCGGCCGCTGTTCTTGCCAATATCCCTGAGCCTCCACTGCTGTTATTTATAGAACGAAAGCAGGACGACTTCTTCTGCACAGAGCGGACTGAGGAAAGAAGACCAAGCAAAAACACAAGGAAGGAGTCAGCCCTCTACACTTTCTCCTGGAGATGCACATCTGGATCAATCTGGACACACCCGTTTCTGTTATGGACACCTAAAAAATCACAACCATAATTGCCATCTGTTTGAAAGGCATTCTGGTGCCACAGTGGTTAAAGTGCCTGGCTGCCAACTGGAAGCTTGGTGGTTTGAACCCAAAAGCCACTGTATGGGGCAAAGACGTGGCAGTCTACTTCCACAAACTTTCCACGGTATTTCTGGAAATCCTATGTGGGAAGTTC